CTCACATTTATTACAAAATAAATTGCTGAACCTTTAGTATGCAGTTGAAGCACCCCCTTGATACACACACACACACACACACACACACACGTACACACACACACAGTATGACTCCAACATAATTTTTTAACATATTCCTATGAGCCAACTTACTTTTTAAGTAAGTACAACATATATTTTAATGCTTAAGGAGACTTTGCTTATTTTCTTTCTCCTCCAATGCCTTCTTTATTATCACCACTCCTGATAATACTTTTTCTATTCCTTATTTTAATGCAAAATTTCTAACAGATGTAAGGGCAGAGAGAATAATATATGACTAATCTTTTTTTATCTATATATCCATATTTTTTCCTGGAATATTTTAAGAGAAATATCAAATGTCATATCATTTTGCTTGTAATTCTAAAAGTTAAACATAACTAAATACTAAATACTTCTATCAATTACCTCATATCATTTAATATTTACTTCATGCTCAGATTTTTTAAATTGTTTCAATAATGTCTTTTTACAATTGGTTTCAGTCACTATGCAAACAATGTCCATAATCAGGATTTGGTTGATGTGTTTCTTAAGTCTCTTTTAATCTACTTCCATTTACCACCCTACCCCTTTTTAATGTCCTTTAGTTTTTAAATAAATCAACTCATTGGCCCTGTATAATGTCCTATCTTCTGCATTTGGTTGCACAGTTCCTTATGGTACTACTTATTATTATGTCCTTTTTTTGCCTGTATTTTTAGCATATTGGGAGTTAGACCTATTCAGAGGCTTGATTTGGATTTTAGCACAATTGTTTTAGGGAAGAATACTTTACAGATGGCCTTGTGTACTACATGATTTAGAAGACCCACAATGTCTTCTGTTCTCCTTTAGTGATATTGAAGCAGGGTATTTCCCTGACCCCTTCGTGGGACTGGTGAAGGGGGTACCTCATTTACTTAGCCTGTTACTCTCAGCTCCTCGTGGGAGGGCACAGGCGAGCAAATGAGTTGGGAACTGAAGTGCACAGGCCCTGGAATTGGCTGGCCACTTCTGCGCTGGCAGTGGTGAACTCCACTCACTCAGACCCGCTGCTGTGCTCCACCCCTCACGGGAGGGAGCACCCAAATGAACAGCTGCAGGAGCTGGGGTGAGTGCTTTTGAGTCCCTGCAAGAGCAAACTCTGTGGTGACTGTGGGGCAGCATCTGCGGGGTGCTCGCGACTTTTGAAACCCCAGAGGGAGTGGCACAGTGCTCTTTTAGTTCAGCCATCCACGGAGGGCTTAAGTGCTAACAGCTCAGGGGGCGCTCTATCTTTTTGTGTGAGTCGGCTGACTTATGCTAGCAAGGGCAAAGGGCAAGTATGACACCCTTTTGCATCCACACTCATGGTTCCCAAGTTCTTGTCCAGTGTCCAGTGTCCAGGAGAAATGAGGTCTCACGAACTCACTGAAGAATGATAAATGCGGAGGATTGTATTGCCAATAGAGGTGGTTCTCAGCTGGAAGGGGAACTGGAAAGGGGACAGGGCAGGAAGGTAATCGTTCCCTGAAATCCAGTTATCTCTGGCCAGATTCTTCTCTGAGGTTACACTGTCAAGCTGTCCCTCTGAAGTCAAGCTGTTTCTCTCCGACGTCCAACTGTAGTCTCTGATATCCAGCTGCTGCTGCTTCTCTCTTTGCAGCTAAGTTCTGGGGTTTTTAATAAGCCCAGGATGGCAGGTGGGGCGGGCCATGGGTGGTTTTGGAAGAGGCAACATTAAGCAGGAAATCATGGATGTAAGTTCTCACTTTGGACCACAGTTTCAGGTTTTTCTGATTGAAAGTGGGGCCCTCACCGGGGCCCTTTTCTGCCCAGAATTTCCCTGCCTCCTGTTCCTATCAATATTAAGATTGATCTGTGGGCCAGGTGTGGTGGTTCACACCTGTAATCCCAGCACTTTGGGAGACTAAGACATGAGGATCACCTGAGGTCAGGAGTTCGAAACCAGCCTGGCAAATATAGTGAAACCCTGTCTCTACTAAAAATACAAATAAAAATTAGCTGGGCATGGTGGCTCATGCCTGTAATCTCAGCTACTTGGGAGGTTGACGCACAAGAATCTCTTGAACCTGGGAGGCGGAGGTTGCAGTAAGCTGAGATCTTGCCACTGCACTCCAGCCTGAGTGACAGAATGAGACCCTGTCTCAAAAAAAAAAAAAAAAAAAAAAAAAAAGATCAGTGGATTCAAGAGATTTCAGCCTGCTGATCTCATTGCAACTTTTCCTATTAACCTTTCTTTCACTTAAAGGTTTTAGCAGCCTTTAATGTTTGTCTATTTCCTTTATTTCATTAGGGGTTGTAAAATGGTGACTCTTCTTTCATTCTGTCTGCATTTATTAGTTGTCATTTTCTAAAAATAACTTTCTCTTGTCTGTAATTTAATTGCCCAGAAATACAGTTTGTACAGGATAAAAAGAACAAGTGCTTTATTTTTTCCCTTTACTGATTCATTTTCAGAATGGTAAGTTGGTACTTACCAACCTCCAAGATGACTGATGAATTTTTGTTAACATTTTATTATAAATTTATAAATCCCTACATGTTTAATGTGTTTTAATCCATTGCAGTCATTATTATTTTTAATCTGCTATCATAATTCAATCCACAGCTTATAAAGCCTGTCTAAATTTTCTTGTCTGGTAGGGATACAAGGCAACATAGCAAAGATCCTCAAGGTAACCTGTGTGTTAGCCTACGGGGAATAAGGGATGATGGTTTTATATTAGCCAAAAGGGGCCTGTATGTGGTAAAGAGGTACTGGTAAGGTTATAGTAAAAGACAATATATGTAGGGGTGCTCATTGTAAAATTCTTTCGCTTTTGCTATAAGTTTGAATATTTACAGTAAATAATTGGACAAAGTAAAAAGAGGAGGAATGTGGTTTTAAAAGGTGAGACTCCCTTGTGCGAACACATGGAAAGTTACAGCACTACAGAGGGAAAAAGGGAGTTAAGGAATTTCTAGATTTTGTATGTAAAAGGTGATATATATTATATCTTTATTAGTACAATAAAATTTTTAACAGTGGCACTCAGACATCTAAAATTTCAGTTGACCTCTGATATGTAAGATTTTTCTTGAATTAAATCAAGATTATTTAGCTATGTATGGATAAAACAATCTTGATTTATTTGAGAAACACATCGGGAAAAGTTATGATGAACTTTAATGGAAAACACACTTGTATAGAAGTCTGGTCATAAGATTGAAATTGATCATCACATTGTTTGTTTTGAAAAGAAAACATAACATTCAAAGAATATGTTGGAAGCATTGGATTTCTTCACATGAGAACACACACATTGAAAATGATGAGGCTTGGATGAAGCACAAATTACAGACTACTTTTTTTTTTCCTTGAAAGTGTTGAGCTTTAAAAATATACATATATTATTGGAAATACTAGAAGTTAATTAGAATATTTCTGCATGGGGAATACTTTTTGGAAAAAGATACAAAATAATAAAGACTTAAAAAATAGACTAATGACCAAACTTTAAAAATAATTCTACAAATGGCAAAATGAAGTCACAGACAATTTACAGCAAGCCAAATAGGCAGATTTTAGGTGGTAGCCTATCACTGCCAGCATGGGTGGTCTCCCATTTCCCAGAAGAGGGAAACAATGAGCTTTGTGATAAAGGCGTGATGTACTCAGCACCCAAGGGGCCTTTGGGCTGTGGAGGGAAAGGAAGAAAGGGGGGCAACTTTTTTAAAAGTCATAGAATGGGGTCAAAAATTAATAGAGGAAATTTTGCAAAGTTATATAAACCAACCCATTTACCCCCAAGAAAAACCACACCTAAATTCTTCTAGAAAGATTACAATCTTTCCTATTTTTAAAGACCTCCGGTGAAGGAGTTTCCATTGCCTTGCTTTAGTATTTAACAAACTTCATTCTCTGGAATACTGTCCTTGTCTATGTTAAATCCTCAGTGATACTGCCAAGACCTTTGTTTGTTCTCATAATACTCAAACAGGGAAGGAAGACAACTGAGGGAGCTGCTTCAAGAGCTCTCTCAGTCCCTTTTAGCTTCCCAACCCTACCCCACCCTCACGCTCTTTTCTCTATATTTCTTATCTCAGCTTCTCTTTTCTTTCCCCCCCACTCCTCTCCTCTCCCCTCCTCTTCCCCTACCCTCCTCTCCTTTCTTGAGACTGAGTCTTGCTCTATTGTCCAGGCTAGAGTGCAGTGGCGCTATCTCAGCTCACTGCAGTTTCCACTTCCCAGATTCAAGTGATTCTGCTGCCTCACCCTCCTGAAGACCTGGGATTATCAGCGCCCACCACTATGTGTAGCTAATTTTTGCATTTTTGGTAGAGACAGCGTTTCATCATGTTGGCCAGGCTGGTCTCAAACTTCTGACCTCAAATGATCTGCCTGTCTGAGCCTCCCAAAGTACTGGGATTTACAGGCATGAGCCACTGTGCTCAGCCCTCAGTTTTTTTAAGGCAGGGATTGAAAGTGCCTTTAGGTTCAGGAGGATAATATACAACTTGTAGACTGCAGAGAGAGGTGGCAAAGTAAAGAATCCAATGCTACATTCTAAAGGCGTTTGATTATATATTCATTACTCATTAAATGCACTGATTAGGCCAAGTTGAATCTGACTTTGGGCTGAATTCTGCTTGAGAGCTGCCTATTTCTAGCCTTTGCTTCATACCTTTACTAAAAGAGTACGGCAGATCACAAGGTGGCAGTTGCCTGTGTATACAAGTGAAAAAATACAAGGCTTAGTTTAGCTCTGTTGAAAGACAGTTCTTGTCAGTATTCTCCAGTGCAATCAGCACTCTTATTGTCACAGTTTCCTCTGGATACTATACGTATATATATTCTGTAGTAGATGTTAATATATACATTAAATACAAGATGAACCCAATTATCTTTGCCTCCCAGTATTCATAGCCTTGTGTGCTAACCCTGTGACTAGCAGAATACAGTGGAAGTGATGGTGTGTTTCTTCTGACACTAGGTCATGTCAGTCATTGCAACTTTCACCTCTGTCTCTTAAATCACTTGCTCTGGAGGAAGCTGGCAATCATGCTGTAAAGACACTCAAACAGCTTTGTGCAGAGAAACTGAGGCCTCCAACCAAGTTGCCAGCCTAATGAGTGAGCCACCCTGGAAATGGATCTTCTAGACCTAATCAAGCCTTCAGATAACTGCAGGACCAACTGACATCTGACTGCAACTACATGAGCAACTCCAAGTGAGAACTTCACACAACAGCCCTTTCAGAGTTCTTGATCAGCAGAAACTTGAGACATCATGAGTGCTTATTGTTTTAAGCCACTAAGTTTTAGGGGTGAATTATTTGGCAGCAGCAGATGACAAAACAGAATTGGTAGACTGAGAGTTGTACATTCATGACTACAGAGATCTGTCACTTAAAGTAAGATCAAACTTGGTGACCCGTTCCTTTAAGTTTTTTCTTTTTTTTAGTAATGGGAAAGGAGATGTGTCCTTCCTCAGGAATATAGAGCCAGGATTCATACAGAAAGTAAGTGATTTTTATATGTAACATGAGTTTTTAATGGTAGGTCAATAATAGCTAATATTGATTAAACTTAATGGTGGTTCAACAATAGCTTAATATTAATATTAGTTTTTAGTGGCAGTTCAATAATAGGCAATATTAATTGAACTTTTACTATGTGGCAGCACTGTGCTAAGAACTTTACCTGAGTTATCTTCAAATGATTCTTATAGTAACCCTACAAAGTAGCTAGTGTTACTATATCTCAGCAGTTTGTTGCAAGAAAACTAAGGAGCTGTTGAAATAAACTGATGTCTAAGTAGCTGTGATTTGAAAAAATATAAAATTTCCCTGCTCAAAAATATCTTTACAAATCAGATATCACAGTTGCTTAAATTTCATGATTATGAGCCTTAAGCATTTTCAAAATTATCTCTAAACAGGGTACTCAGTCCATTAATGAGTACTTAGCAGGTTTGTTTTTCTACCTCTTTTGGTGAAAGATTTTGTCTAGTAGCCAGCCATGAAAGTGAGCCTCACAGATCTGGGACTGCGAGGAGCCCAGCTGTGGTGCCATGAACTTCATGCATGTCTGCATGGAGGCCATGCTTCCCATGAGTTGTTCCTGGCCAGTGATGGAGTGGCAGGGTCACTTACCCAGGCCAGTTCCTGCCAGCTGCAGGACTTCTGTGATGGTGGATTCCCCCATGGCTCTGCTAATCTCTCAGATGAATAAGTTCTATATCTAGTTTACAGCACAGTGACTATATCTAATAATACTTTTTTTTTTTTTTTTTCAGTGTAGACCATCTTTATTGGCAGGTGTTAGGAGTGCAAAATAGCAACAAATCCAGGGGAATGTGCAGGGCGGTTACAGGGCTCCCCCCCCCCACATGAGAGCCCTGTAACCAAGCCAGTGGGGCAGGAATGTTGTCTTCACTGTGGCAAATTAGGCTCAGCACCCTCCAAAAAACAAGCTCCCAGGCAGGAGGGCTCCTTGCAATACAAGGGGGAAAGGAGTGACACCCTGGAAGGGCTTGGGCTGTGACCCGGCCTGGGCTGCTTGGCTCCTGTGCACTGCCCATCTCAACCCTTCAAGAGGAAGGCTTCACAGCTTAGGGTATCTATTTCAGAGAAGCAGGCTAAACCCAGCCCTCCCCAAACCAAGGTAGCTGCCTCATGCCTCAGTTTCCCACCCCCTAGTGATTACCCAAGTTGGACCATCAGGCCCTGTAGTGGCCCAGCCTAACCCCTTACAATTTGATAAGAGTAGATTTTAAGTGTTCTCTACAGGCACACACACACACACACATACACACATACACACACACAAATGGTAACTATAGTGGTAATAGAAATGTTAATTAATTTGACCATAGCAATCATTATATAATGTGTACATATAATCATGATGTTGCACACCCTGAATATATATAATTTTTGTCAATGAAATATTTTAAAATCAAACAACAATAACAAAAACTACACTGCAGTCAAGACACTTCTACCATCCCTTTTCCTTTCATCTCTCATTTACCTGTGATCAGACTGCATCGTGGTTTGACCAGCCCCCAGTCCCTTATCCCTCCCATCTCCTCCTTAGAGGAAGAAATGTTGCCTGATATAGTTTGGCTGTGTCCCCACCCAAAGCTCATCTTGAATTGTAGCTCCCATGATACCCACTGTCGTGGGTAGAACCCAGTGGAAGGTAACTGAATTCTGGGGGTGGGTTTTTTCCATGCTGTTCTTGTGATAGTGAGTAAGTCTCACAAAATCTGATCATTTTATAAAGGACAGTTCTGCATACACGCTCTTGCCTGCCATCAAGTGAGATGTGCGTTTGCTCTTTCTTCACCTGCTGTCATGATTGTGAGGCCTCCCCAGCCATGTGGAACTGTGAGTTCATTAAACCTCTTTTTCTTTATAAATTAGCTGGTCTTGGGTATTTCTTCATAGCAGTATGAAAACAAACTAATACATTGCCTTAATAAATCTCTTGCACATCTACTCCTGTCTTGGAACCTGCTTCTTAGAGGGCCTGGACTAACATGTTCTGGTATTGCATGAAGCATCTATGATCACAGAGTAACAAGAAAATAGCACAAGCAAACATATGAGGACTTGAGATAATTCAAAAGGTAAGTAACCTGTGGTACAATTTTACTTTAGGAAAGCTGGCACTATACAGAATTAAATAAAAAGATTATTATGAGGAGGTCAAGTGGAGACCTATTACTAACAATAAAAGTGCTGACTAGAAAAATGAACATGCATAAGGATGAATATGTATGGTGTCCTGACTGGTGACGGTGGTAGATTTATTCTTTATTTAAAATAAAGAATACCCATGGGTTGCAGATGCTTTTGGTTCTCTTCTTTACCTCCCTTGAACCCACCTCTGATTTTAGCTGCAGCAGGTGCAGCAAGGTCTGGGCAACCTTGGACTCATGCTGACAGCACCCCATCTCAAGCATGTTCCAGGAGTGCTGTCTAAAATCCTGATTTAGACTCGGTGCAGTGGCTAATGCCTGTAATCCCACCACTTTGGGAGGCCAAAGTGGGCAGATCACCTGAGGTCAGGAGTTCAAGACGAGCCTAGCCAACATGGCGAAACCCCATCTCATTTAAAAATACAAAAATTAGCCAGGTGGTGTTGCGCAGCTGTAATCCTAGCTACTTAGGAGGCTGAGGCAGGAGAATCACTTGAACCCAGTAGGCAGAGGCTGCAGGGAGCCGAGATCACACCACTGCACTCCAGCCTGGGTGACAGACTGAGACTCCATCTCCAGATATAAATAAATAAATAAATAAATAAATAAATAAATAAATAAATAAATAAAATAAAAATGGAACCAAATTTAATTCGGTTTTGTATTTTACTGGTGCCTCTAGCCAGAGCTTTTCCTGAAGCCACAGGGTCCTCTTCAGCCCAGCAGTGTGAAGGACTAATTGTGCCCAGGTAACCCTGCATGCACTGACGGAGGGCAGTAGCTGTCCCTCAAGTAGAGAGTGTGGGCGTGCTATTTCTCAGAGGTCTGGCAGCCTCACCCCTGCTGCCTACAGCAGCCATTGTAATAACACACTCTTGTGCTGGCCTCTTGCCTTGTTTACCTCCCTAGTCCTCCACTCCTGCTTCCTGTGAATGCCCTTTAAATAAATCTCATTTCGTGTCATGAGATCTACATTTAGGGGCCAAATTAAGACAATATATGTATGAATAGAGGGAAGCGTCAGCAATGTCTTTCCCCTAAAATAATTTTAAGTAGGCAGAAATTTGAAAAATGAGTTCAGTAATAAATGGTTACTTAATTTCACAAAGATATAATTTCAGATTCTAAGTAAATAGAAATCTTAGTCAATTTCCTTTTTGGGAAGGGCCATTTTCCATATTTGACTGTAAAGAAAATAAACTACTTACTTGCTCATATTAACTTATGATAAAAACATTTTCTTGTGCAAATAATAAATCACTAGCATGTACGAAGTGAGCAACTGAAGCTAATCAAATCCATTTTCTAGTGTGTATATACTTAAAAGGCAATAATAGTTTTGTTTAAGGAAGTAATGAAAACATAGTTTTATATGGATATCCATAGTATATTTGGGAAGTTTGTGATTATTAGTTCTCAAGTACTTTTGGTCATCAATATAAATATTGTGATAATATTCAAGAGTTACATTCATTTTTTTGGCAGTAGTTTGCATTTCGTCAACAACAGATTTCAAGTACCTTTAGACCCTGTGAGGTTCTGCATAGAATAATCAATCATCCCCTTTTGGCTGTTTGGCAGAGACAGCCAATGACTTGTTCTGTCATGAAATGAATTAATATATATTCATGAGGCACAGAGCAACACTTCATTGTTTCAGACTGTTTTGTTATTTTAGAATAAATCACAAAGGCAGCATCCCACTCATAGCTGGTAGAGAAATATTTGTCCTATGATCCTTACCTTTATGATTTGTAATGTTTTAACTTGCACAGTTTAGCCCACATAACATGTTTTTTCTTAAGTAGTAAATCTCATGCTTTTAAAAAAGTACTGTGTCTCTGTTACCTTTTATCAGCAAAATTTAAAAGCATTAAAAACTGACATAAAATGCATTCCTAAGTCAGGAATTTTCACAGACTGAGGGAAGCATGGCAAAATGATAAACTTAGTACAGGTAAGTATTGTTCAAGCTTCCAAATTCTATCAATCCCAAACTTTATGGCATGTCATTAATTTGTGAAGACCTTTCAAGAATCAGTTGTAATTGCAAAATTTCTATCCTGCCAGGATATCTGTGTGAACCTTCCATAGGACAACCATAGCACATAGCATGAAAAAGACTTGCTGGAAAGCTATTTTAGCACCTCTGATAAACAGAAAAAAAGGTGAGTATTCCTATTTCAAGCTATCTAACTTTATCACTTTGTCTGCTTTTTCTAATCAATGTTATCATCTGCTGGAAAAATCTTGTAAAATTCAGAAAGCTAAAATCTAGGAAAATGAAACCCAGGGACAACAACTTCCAGAAATGTAAAAGCCATTGAACATTCTCTATTGCCCTAAAGTGGTTGTCAGAAAAGACAGTTTATTGGCTCTTCCCTAAGAATTATGTTTTCAGCAACAATACTTAAACATTTACTGTCTTGGATTGTAACAATGGCTATTTGTTTAGGTGGCACTGTGCCTATTTAGAACTTTGTAAAATTCTTGCCATAGAGATCAACAACGTTTAGGAGGACAAATGTTAACATAAACACAGCTCCCCACAGAGTTGGAGTTAGATTTCTTGGGTTTGAATCCTGGCCCTGGATGTATTAGGTAGTTAACTCAGACAATTTATTTGATTTTAACCCTAGATTTTCTCATCTGTAAACTATAGATAATAGTGTATACTTCGCCATTATGGGAATATGTGCCAGCATACAGTAATTATAAATTATAGTTATTTTTTATTATTATCAATCAATGTGCTTAACTGCAAAAAATAGAACCCATTCCAGCTAGATTAAGCAGAAAAGGAATTTATCAAAGGAACCAGGTGACTCATAAATCCTGGGGGTGGGAGGGACAGAGAGTCAGACTTAGCAATGGCATAAAAAGGACAATGCCTAAGTCATATCATAGCAGGTGCAGAGTGACACAGACAGTGGAGCTCACACAAGAACTACATAAGTTGTAGGGCCTAGTGCAAAATGAAAAGATGGGTCCACTTGTTCAAGTAGAATATTTCCATTGAAGGTACTAAAATAAAGCTCTTTCCTTTTTCTGCAGTCTTTCTCAACTTTTCACAGTTTTTTTTTCTTCCCATTTCATATTACTCTAAGCTAAAAAAAATTTAAATTAATAAATTTTTAAATTAAAACATTTGGGCATGAATTTTATCATTTATCTTTATATCTGTTTTAAAGATGATATGTCAGTTTTAAATGGAAATATAAAAACATTCAACTCATATGCAGAATTACAGAAACTACCATAATTCATAGATTATAGCTTATATGTGCATATGCACTTTAATTTTACAAGGAGAGTAGAAACACTGTGGCTTTTATTTCACTTCTTGATACATGCTCGTTCTGCCAACACTCTTTGTCTGCCTTTGGCATACTGGTGAGAAAGGAAGAACTAAAAAGAAAAGTAGCTAACTAGGCTTGCCCAGTCTTTCCATTTCCTTGTGTCATCATTTTCAGTGTAAGTGGTTGGTAACACATGAAGAAAAGATACGAAATAGTTGTCCGTGTTTCTTGGAAAGACATGGTGTTGTTTACTCTGTTGGAAGTAACTTCTGGTTTAAAAAGGAAAGTTTCAGCGTCCCCTACTGCCATTCTAGTTTCTCAGTAATAGACACCACACGTTTGCTTTGTACTTGCTTTGAGCCTCACTGAACTCCTGTACATTGTGGGTTTACTGAAATGCTATGCTTATGGGTCAGTAAATGTTACATGCAAATGGGCAGTAAGGGATGGGGATGGATAAATTCAGTGTGCAAATTATCACATTCAGCACAATCTGGTTGGGGTGTGCCTTGGAAGATTTCATTTTTAACCAAGAAAGGCATATGTTTACTGTCTGGATATTTCTTTCCTAAAAAGTAAATGCTAGTGTCAGAAAATGCACATATTTATTCTGCTTAAAGAAATATGTACAGGCTGCATGAGACTACGCAGAAGAAACATATACTGTATATTTATTTGTCATTGTCCTGTTAAGTATAAAGAGCATGAGGACAAAAGTCATCTGACATAGCCTGTTGTATTATCGTGATCCAGAATTTTAAAATGCCTATTGGCAAAATTCACAAAAGCTTAAGCCATCCGTGTTATCCTATAAAGTGAATTTGGTAGAGTGGTATACTTTGTCACTTAGTTCCTGAGAACCTTTTCTGTGACCAGTCATCAATATTCACCTTCAGTGCACACTGATGAGTCCAACTAATATCAAGAAAGGGCTTTCCTCAGGTAACTGAAACCAAATGTATAGATTCCCTGTGATAGACAGTGTGTTATGAATTTCTGAAGTTCATTTTCAAACTCTTCTTTAATTCTACTTTAACTTTGTATTATTCTTGTTGTTCTCTATCTTTAAAGACAGGTTTATTTTCAGGACAAACAGGTTTCACTTTATCAATATGTTATCCAAATAACTTATGTGAAAAATTTCCTGGCTATCAGGTATTCATATATTCATGTATCTTCTTTTGTTTTATTTTTGTTTGTAAAAGTAAAGGCCTTACATTCTGAATCTTATAAGAAATTTTAAATTACACAAGTCAGAAATACATAATTGTTTTCATGATAGAAATAACATTGGTAAATTGGCTTCTCTTTCTTCCTTAATATTTATCAATTTAGATGATTTGGATGAAATTATATATATAGATAAATGAATACTGAGAGTCTTCTTTCTGATATGTTTTCATAATTCATGTAAGCAACTTATTGCTCAATAACTATTTATTTGAATGAATGACTCTTAAACCATTCTAAAAAATATGTTGGCCCAAGTCATAAGAGCTAATAGATTCAGGTAAAGAAACTTCACAAACTTGATTTCTTATTTTGGGTTACCTGCATTTTTTTTTTTTTTTTTTTTTTGAGACGGACTTTCACTCTTGTTACCCAGGCTGGAGTGCAATGGCGCCATCTCGGCTCACCGCAACCTCTGCATCCTGGGTTCAGGCAATTCTCCTGTCTCAGCCTCCTGAGTAGCTGGGATTACAGGCATGCGCCACCATGCCCAGCTAATTTTTTGTTTATTTTTAGTAGAGACGGGGTTTCACCATGTTGACCAGGATGGTCTCGATCTCTTGACCTCGTGATCCACCTGCCCCGGCCTCCCAAAGTGCTGAGATTACAGGTTTGCGCCACCGCGCCCGGCCTACTTGCATTTTCAATTCAAATTTAAGAAGCTTTATAAAGAGATTAAATCAACTATTTTGAGGAAAAAAGCAAGAAGCTGCCACTAGAAAAGTGGTTGTTAGAGTTCTTTTCTAGACTGAATCATGAGGTTATTGAGCACAGCCTGGGGCAAAGTTCACTCATTCTTCCCTTTGCCTTTAGCAATAAAATATTTAGCTGGGTTCATGGGGGCCTGGATCAAAGACTGCATTTTCCAGACATTCTTACTATCTGTGGTTGTGGGGCTAGATTTTTTTTTTTTAATGTGACTAAATTTTAAGTTCAACAATAAATTAGCACAAGTAACATCTGCAATTCAGATTGTGTTAGTCAAGTCATGAGAATAAAAATTAATCTTAAGTCACTATGATTCTGGTTTTGTATTGTGTACAGCTAAACCTTCATTCTAAACCATTAAATTCCCAAGATAGAATGTCTTCAGGGACAAAAATATGGTAAAGATTAGTTAATTTTGCAGTGAAATAAATTAGCGTAAGATGAGAATATTTGGTTTCTGTATATATACATGCATACATACATATATATATATATATATATATGTATGTGTCTGTATGTGTTATTTGTATGAGTTATAATAGTTTAGGACCTTTCGTACAAAATAATATGCTTCAACTCTTCCTGGTTTTGGCACCCCAAATTCTCGAGGTATCAAGACCTTGCCTAATACAGTTCTGGCCTTCAGGATCACCTGGCTGGTACTCAAGCCCTCTAAAGAATGTATTATATGTTCAGCACTGAGGTTGCTGCAGTCCCATATATGGTGGAGATTGTAAAAAACTTCAACAAAATGAGGCAGAGTATAATCAAAATAAAAGAGTGTGGTACACAGAAAGAGTGTGATACACTTCTTTCTCAGCTTTCTGATCATAAAGCCAAACTTTCTTTCCCGGATACTATGAGATCTGCTCACTACAACTGATCTCAATCTGTTAGCATGCAAATTAGAAAAATGTGCCCCTTATCATCTGTTTGAAAGTTGTCATAGGAACCTGATTTTATTACAACCAGGCATTTCTTTGCCATCTACTGGAAAGATGTATGTATGTATGCATATATGTATGTATGTATGTATGTATCTATCTATCTCTGCAGTATAAATGGTAAACTTTTAAACTTGTTCAGTGTACTGCATGCACAACTGTACAAGGCAAGCAGTGTATAACCACAGGTAGAAATTGTGAGTTAAGAAAAGTGTTTATTGCTCTTTAATTTGCACTAAAATTAGACAATTAAAGAGAAGTGAATAAGTTTGGAACAACTTCTGACAAAGAAGTTTCAAGCCATAACTACTATTTAAAAGAGCAGTCACAAGATACTGAAATGTTTGACAAGTCAACAAATTGCTTAAGAGTATGCAAATATATACTAGAGACCATACATGAGAAGAAACACACTTCGATGGAATTTGTGGCAAATGAAAGTTGGATGTCCATTAAAATTAAGTACAATTATGGTAGAGTCCAATTTTAATACAAGTAAGGTTGTGGAGGCTTAAGGCTAGGCTGAAGTGTTTACAGAGATGGAAAAAAATTAAAAGATTGAGAAGCATTAGCTTAAACATTCCACTGTGCTTGTACTTTTAGCAGCTATAGAAGTGGCATTCGAGTTTTCTTGAAAAGGGGAATAAAAGGTTTTATTTTCTACTTAATCATGATTTGCACAAAAATCTCAAGACATATTAATAAGTAAAGAAAGATACAAAATAGTTAATACAAATTACATTATCTTATATAGGATATGTAAACAATTCATGTGTCTATATATCTCATATGATATTTCTGAAAAGATCTCCAGCCAAAGTTTAACAGTAGTTATTTAGTGATTTAAAGGATTTTACTTATTTGCCTTTAAAATTTTTTTTTACAATAAATATATTTTGTTTTGGGATTTAAATAATTTGGGATATAAAAAAGACTATCAAGTAAAATGTCAGTGTGCTCATAAACATTGGACCCGAATATTCTCCAGTCCTAATGATACAACCAATAGGATACATAATTGGGAATGCCCTGTAATTCCACATGCCTAGAAACCCTGAGAATTTCCTACTAAATACAAAGTCTGTTTAAGGAGACAGAAAAAATCTTGGCGAAAGCAAACTTACAGCCTCTTTTATTTGGTTCAGTATTTATTTTCACTAACTCAGTGAGCAATATATTATTTTCTTTTTTTTTTTTTTTGAGACGGAGTTTCGCTGTTGTTACCCAGGCTGGAGTGCAATGGCACGATCTCGGCTCACCGCAACCTCCGCCTTCTGGGTTCAAGCAATTCTCCTGCCTCAGCCTCCCGAGTAGCTAGGATTACAGGCGTGCACCACCATGCCCAGCTAATTTTTGTATTTTTAGTAGAGACAGGGTTTCACCTTGTTGACCAGGATGGTCTCGATCTCTTGACCTCATGATCCACCCGCCTTGGACTCCCAAAGTGCTGGGATTACAGGCGTGAGCCACCGCGCCCGGCCAATGTATTATTTTCATAATTAAAATACTCAAAGTAGGTTTTTTAGTTAAGAAAAGTTACAAAGTTTCACTATTGTCAAACACTATATACAATCCAAATATCCACTGGGATACTAATTAAATAAATGATAGCGTGGATACTTTATGAGATACAATATAGAACTTAAAGAGAATGACGTTGACTTTCTTTATAGGTTCTGTACAAATCATTCATAGTTGTTATCTCTGAAGAAGGAAAAGTAAGTAAGGGAATAAGGTGAAGTTGGAATTTAACTTTTGAGTTCATAAGCTTCTTTTTGTTTTAATGGTATACAAAGAATATGCAGTCAGAAATTATGCAGTGTGTGTGTGTGTGTGCGTGTGTGTGTGTGTGTGTGTGTGTGTGTGTGTGATATGACAAATGTGAAAGAGAAC